GTAGGTTGAATAAAATATGCCAAAGTCAGTACAGTGGAAACTTAGAGCCATGTTTTTTTTACTAATCGCATGGCAGTTTCTTTTTAATATTTTCTACATTTTTGGCCAAGTCACGTCACACTTAATATGTGAATTATATTTTTTTTTAAACTATAAAAAAACAACGTTGATTTATCGAATCCGATGGATGACGAACTAAAATTTGATAGGCAAGGTATTCCAGACCTACTGTACCGTAAGAATAACATGTTAGACAAACAGTAGCATGATGAGATGTGAGATATGGTATTGTCTAGTGCCAAATGTTGTGTATAGACTATGCTTAGTAGTGGTGGCGCCACTGCTGTCCCTCTCATCGATTCTTTATATATATATTATCTCTTATTACAACATTATATTAAAAATCATGTCATCGTGATGTGTGTTTCCGCGTCAGGAAATAATAGGAGTGTTCTGCTTCCCTACCTGATGGGGCATACTGATACTCAGTAAGTTCCCAAATACTTGCAAAAATCGAAAGTGATTGGTAAAAATCGAACCCACGACCTCCAGATATCTAACCTCCAAAAAGGACATCGAAATAGCATTGCAGTAGGCCTACCCGCTGCTACTTGGGGATCGGATTCGACACTAGTCACTAAGCGCAAGATACGTGGTCTAGTGGTACTGACACCAGGCTAGTTATCTGGAGGTCGTGGGTTCCGACTCCCACCCGAACACTTACGAATTGTGTTCGCAAGTATTAGGAACGTACTGAGTAAGTAACGGTACATGTATGTCAACAACTAATGCAAAGCTGGCTTTATAACATAAAAAGTTATAATGAGAGCTCTATGATAAATAATATTGTTTCAAATACCGTACATATTATTCCACGTAGGCCTAACCTATGCCAAGTTAAGTGAGCGTGACAATTCTAATTTGCCCCAAAACCATAGAAATTTAAAATCAAAATTAATTTTATTCATAGTAATATGTCGGTATGTTTACAACACATATGGCCAATGTCTCAACACACTTCACATTTATACCATCAAGTGATAATTGGTGCTCCCAGTCTCTGAATCCGCGATATCAATAATAAATAATAATAATAAATAATAATATTGATAAATAATAAAGATATTAATATTTAATAATAATAAAGATAATAATAATAATTAATAATAATAATAAATAATAATAATAAATAATAATAATAATAAATTATAATAATAAATAATAATAATAATAAATAATAATAATAATAATAATAATAATATAATCGTTATTGTAATCATAGCTCCAATGTATAATAAGTAATAATACTAATTTGGTAATTTTATTATTATAAGCCCTATATGTAGTAACGATTACAATAACGAAGAGTTTTGATGATAATTTGTTCTTATTATTAGCATTGTAGGCTGGCTATGTAGATCTAATAATTCTTCACTTACTCAATTTTTAAGCAATCATAAATTATCCCAATAATCATAGGATTCATCTCGACACGCATCTCCCCTTAAATAATTCCTACCCTAACACATCTTAACGTAACAGCCTGACTCACTTCTACATGTAGGCCTATAATACATTACTGTCTATCACAGAGCCGCCATACTTAATAAATTATAGGCAATTATTTGAGAGCGAATGACTACTCAGTGTATAAAAGTATAACCGCATATACTGTACATATCAACAATAATAGAACGTATAATTTGTAGAACGTAATTTATACGACACAATGCACGTATAAAAATACCCATCCTAAGACACAGCCAGCAAGCAAATTAAAAATGGATGTTCGGGAGACGAGCAACAAATCGTGGAATTTTGTTATGAAATGTAATTAAGCTGCAGTACGATCGCTTCGGTTGGATCAAGAAGATGAGAATTGAAATGAGAAGATAGATCATAGTATCCAATATTGCTATGTACACAGCAATTCCACATCTCATAGCATGTGTACGTAACTTATATGTTTCACAAAATATGCATTATTATATTATAATTATTAAAGAGTATTATGCGTTTCTATTAGGCCTATATCGTGTACATACAATATGCATGTATTTCTAGGCCTACAGGTATATAATAAAAGTAATAATAATATAATAATAATTTTCTTGTTATGATCAAGGAGTATAACATTTACGCTAACAAGCTACGTCACCAACACACGATCTGTCTAGATGTTAAATATGTTACATTATTGACTTTAATAACAATGCATGAGCCTATCCTTCATAATTAGAAAGTATTGATTATTATTGTCGCCTTTGAAATGTCTAGCTCCATGGGCCGATTTTTGTTTTAAACTATCATTATGGTTGTTTTATGGAATATTATAATGATGATATGTAACTACTCAGCATTAGCTAATAAAACGGACCCAATTAATTAGTTATGGGCTAAGGTTTAATCGAACATACATCCTTAAGGTATGCTACGCTACTTAGTAGTGGTGGTGGCAACTAAACCTGGTTCACACTAGAGCAATATTTGGAAGCATTATAAGGTTATGCGCAAGGTAAGCTTAACGCGCCCAAGTAGCTTTGCTTGCTTCCACAGAATTTATACTTTGATATATATATATATATATATATATATATATATATATATATATGTATATTTGTGAAACAGTGCTCAATCCCACTGAAAAATCTATCTCTTATACACATCTAGATGTGTATAAGAGACAGATTATGCACTTGTCAATTGTAGTCCAAACTTCCATGGAAACTGCTAAGTGATACGCACGCGTAGTGCTTCCATCAAGGAACCTCATCTCCTTGGCCTAGCTCTCACGTTGCTTCTCCGATTCAGACCTACTGTAGGCTAAACCTTCAAGTAGGTTTTATCCTCCAATCATTTATTAGCGAGGCATTTTCCCAGGACTACGGCGGTGTGGCGGGGACTTAGCCGGGGATGTACATTAAAACGATGCTCCGCATTGCTAGGAGGTGGCCGGGACTCTCACATGCATTTCATGTTCATTTCAAACTCATAGAGCACCTTACATGTGCGCTTCACCAGTTAGTAAGCTAAAGGTTGGTTCACACATTGCAATTTAGAAGCGTTGACGCAAATGCATACGTCAAATAAAGCTCAGTGTGAATCAGGGATCAATGTTAATTGCGCTGCGCATACTACAGTATGTGTCCTACGTGTTTCACGCGCTTTCAGTACCTCAATCCAGAAGCATAAAATATTATGCGCATGCGCTCACCTCCTTCCGTGAATTATAAAGCGAACACAGCGATAGTAACGGACGAACGTAAAAGGTTAAAAGTTAAATTCATAATTAGATACTTAGATTATTGCACCATTTGCATTCGAACAATTAGATTACAACCGTACAATTGCCATGAATGTTTCGACATTGCTAAGACAACTCCCTGGTTTTACTCATAATCATCATAATGTTAAAGATCAACCAATTAATCGAGATTTTAAAAAAATAATTAGATAGAATATCCTAGTTAGGTGCACTCAATTTCCGCACAACTCCAGAATATTCTACCAGAGTTTGCCGCATCTTAATATTTTTTTTGTTGCCTAAATCTAATGGTCCTCATTTTCCTAATTATATTGAGAATTTCAAGTCTATGAAATTTATATCTTGTTTTTTTTTCAATTCCCTCTGAATTATTTTAGGTTATTCTATACGTTGTGCTGACATTCCAATGAAGTAGGTTTCATGGTTTTTATATTCAAACCTAATACTGTAGTACTGTATGTTATCAACTTTCAGCAGTGGTACTATTGCAATACTGTCTTATAGTTCTGATGATTAAATGTACTGGTTCGATTCCACATGGCGTCTATGTCTAAAGTACAGTTTATGGAACCCAAGGGTGCCCACATGTTGCCTAGGAAAGTCACAGTGTTGATAACATTAGCGGACGATGCGATTTTGGACTCTCTGTCCACATATCATAATTTCTTTGACAAAGTTGTATGCCCATATATAGTCATGATGTGCCTATATATGGTCATGATATGATGTCATCATGACCATATTTAGGCATGTCACATGTTTTTGTCAAATGAAATTTGATAGTCCGGGCTTTTTAACAGGCCTGTAAAGTAGACCTATCTACAATCTTCCAGCATCAAATGATGAATTACAGAAATTTCTGATACGATGCTACTAGGCCTATTTAACATACAGTGATGTTGGACGTCTCATTGTGACGAACCAGCTGTTATGCCTCAGAACAGCCTGCCATCTGCTAAGGCGAGGAAAGATCAAATATTCCTAAGCCTATTTTATTTTAGTATATATTTCATTGTGTAGTCAAATACAGTATCTCTCTATGATTCCATGTGTATCCGAATTTGCATAATTTAGTATACAAGTATATAACAATATTATTTGATTATTATTATAAAACTAAAGATGTAAATATACTAGTATATTAGACAGCCCAATCGTAGATATATGCCTACAAAATACTAAATTTGGTATCCCTACTGCACTATTACGGATAGTAGAATTATGATTTAGCATAAGCTTAATTAATGTATAATTAAGTTGTTTTTTTTTTATCCTGTATAGGCCTAGACCTAATTCAGTTGTGTAGAAAGGCATGCCTATGCCCTATATGCCATATATTTTACACACATTATATACTTATACATGCAAAGGCCCAAAGTAGGCCTCTATAATGTAAAACACAATTATCTTCATTTTGATTATACATACACATACATGTTCATACATATACCGAAAATTCGAAGCTTAACGATGAAGTTTTCTTATAAACACATATAGTGAACTTAAAATAGGGTGGGGACAATGTCATAGCGATAGTTCATGGGAAAAAATTAGTACACTGACAATGAACGAATTTAGAGGGACTGTCGTATTTGATATTAATAATATAATTTTAAATAATAAAATATATGCTGTATTTTTAATGTATCATTTCACTTACCTTTAGAACTGTATTTTATGATCAAAAATAGAAAGAAAGTAACGTATTATGTATGATATTTATAGATAAGGATATGACCAGTTTATTACCCAGTTGGCGCACCGACGTATAAGATTCTCCTCGCTCAATATGAACAAGGCTCGGTTACTGCACAGGAAGTCCCAGATAAATCGAAAAACGGTCCTCTTTCCGTGGGTATCCGTTGCCCTACCACCTTCTCCATCGTTTGGCTTGAACGCTACATCCATGTTGTTTGTCGAATATGGAGTGACGTAAGCAGTTGTCAAAGATGACATCCTGATGGAAGAACCATTATTAACGTGTCAGTCTTAGACATACAAAATACAAAACAGAAATTTAAATTTTACATTCGCGTGCTGATTTGTTTGGTTTTTCTTCCTATTCTTAAGAAAATCGCATTTTTTCAACGGCATAAATTCCTTGTGTTATCGCATGCATCCAGTGTACTCCGCCATCGCATATACGCTGTAAAATATTATATTATGAATCCGTACTCCACCTGCGACTGGCGTGCGATCACCAGCATACAGCTATATGCAATGTTATTTGCTCAGTGGTACTCCTTGCTATGATCGCCGAGGCAGTCAAGCGAAATACATATTTATTAATTAATTATTTATGCGGGTTACGGAGTAGCTCGATATGCGGGCGGTGACGATGGACATATTCACACCTTAAAGGGACAGTCGCGTTTATCTAAATCTTTCAAGTAAAGAATCTTCATATTTCAAACGCTAGTGTTAATATATTTTATATGACAATTACGCCTAAAAGTTATTAAGTCTAATTATCTTATTATTTTGACGTATTTATTTCGCGTGGGCCTACGTACGGTTAGAACGGTACTATTGTATATTAAGTATGGTTCGGATTATGAGCTGCCCGTCTAGTTACTTATAATGACAATGATACTTAAAACAAGCCTACTCGCGGACACTGCTAATTTGCCTATAGATTATTTACTTTTCTTGATGAATAATTCACGATGCAAAGAATAAATTAGCATGCATGAAGAAACAAGGATGCATTGTATACTTCCTTAATTATCAATAACATGGAGTTCATTTTAAGGGTTTTAGTTTCTAAGATCAGTTGGTGTCATCTGCAATGCTTCAATTTCTCTGTTTGTCAGTTTTCGATGCCATCCGCCTAATTAGCTTTATCATCTATTTAACGAGTAAGGAAATGGGACTACAGTATGTCAATACCACTTACGGAAATTTCCGCTTGTAAGACCGGTAATGAATATTCATAATAAATGTGAATTTCTTATGCTCATAAAAAATGAACTAATAACCAATGTATTATTAAAACATTTTGTTATTAATAATAGTATCATTATTTTTATTACTAAGAATAAAAAAATGTAAAATAAACACTAAAAGGTCTTTGCAAAGTACAAATGTGTAGGTGTTAACACCAACATGCGATAACCATTGTTATTCATATACGTATAAAGAGGTGTCCTGCTAATATAAATTTTGCTGTTTTTACTATTATTTATTTATAAGCCAATAGTTGTCGTTGTTATAATGTTATCGTTTAAATTTGTTATGACAATAGCAATATAAATAGCCAATAACACGATGTTGAAATAAAGCATAGTTATTATAATTGTTAGTACACTAACATCATCATTTATTGCTTGAAGGATTAATGTCAAATAAAAAAAAAACACTGAATGTTTGCGGTACACGGTGTACCGAAACCGAATATAGTCTTACCATTAATATAATCGTTGTTATCATCACCGTGATTGTTATCATTAAGGCCTAATTATCACCACCACTATATTTATTAATATTATCATTATCATTATTATTATTATCAGCATCATCATCAGAAACATTACAATCTTTATCGTTAGATCATACAATGTCTGTGGAAAGCCACAGGAAACAACTGGTTCTTAAGCTTGTCACCTAACGTTGAAAAGATAAGTAGACAAAATGAATTATCTGGAAGCTGTAGGTTCAAAGGAAGGCAGAACCATGAGTGAAGAAAATGTGTCTGTTAAAAAAAATACTGATAAACGAAGAATTGCTAAGAGGATAAATAGAAAATGCGATATGGAGTACTGTGATGAAGCCATAGTAACACATCCAATAAAATGGTTAATTCATAAAAAGAGCTTTATGGGGTTAAAAGACAATGGAAATAGGACGCTATCTGATCGGCAACCAATTAAGTTCGGACAGGGACTTCAAATCCCAGAAATATGGGCAGCCGTGCTCTTGTGTTCATGCCATGACATCAATATAATTATAAACATTTATTATTCATTAATATTATCATTATTATTATTTTATTATTATCATTATTATCATTATTTATTATTATCATTATTATTATCATTATTATTATTATTATTATTATTATTATTATTATTATTATTATTATTATTATTATTATTATTATTATCATTATTATTATTGTTATATTATCATTATTATTATTATAATTTATTAGCATTACCCATTATCCTTATCTATTATTTATTCATTATTGTTAATAGTATTCACATTATTAATATTATGATTATTGTCTATATTATCATCATACATATCGGCATATATTATTCATTATTATTATTAATAACCATAGTACTAATAATCATTATTATTATTGGTATTTATTGTATATATAATTTTACATTAATATTATTATTATTATTATTATTATTATTATTACTGTCTTCATTATCATTATACATCATTATTATTATCAATAACAGTAGTACTAATAATCATTATTATTATTATCGGTATTTTTATATATAATTCTACATTTAAAATCTTATGTTTTTTATTGCATTTATTGATAGTCCACGTACTTTCTGAGTTGTCACTGATTTTTTTTTATTAGTGTATGTGTTGCTGGGCCCTGGAGGATAACAATGCTTTTATGCACTGACCAGGTTATCCAAGGTAATGAAGAAATAAATAAAAAATGAATTAATAAATAAATAAGATGAAAATAAAATAAACATATTATCATTAGTCACTATTATTCGTTATTATCACTCTATGTTATTGAGTTGCTTCTTCAATTTAAATTTAAGATACGATCAATGACTATAACAAGTGTAAATTTAGTGAAGCCAGTATTACCGAAGTTTTGTTTCCTAGGACATCGTATAAATTACACAAAATAACATTTGGTAATGGTTTATTTGGGTTATGTTTATATATTGTTTATTTTTTTTAAACGCAGGTAGCCCATGCAGTAAACCAACATAAACAAATAATCCCCACCCCAACACATAAACTGTTCGGCCTTTTAATATTAGTGGTCACTCACACAAGACAAAAACTTTAAAAGGGTAACCGCATAGCAAATTTAATAACGCACACAAAATTTAAATAATGAGACAACAGACATTCTGTAAACATACAGTAATGGAAATTAATTTAATCCAATATATCCAATATTCAAAAGCATGTCTTATACGTGCTAAATAATGAGGATCGTACGCGATTGACCTCTACGTAGTAGTAGTAGTTTCAACTACGTTATATGAAACGTATAGATTCAATTAAAATAAGTCATATAAAGCAACTTTATTAATATATTTTAAGCGCATGTATCCTATGCAGTAAACCAATATAAACAAATAAGTCCCACCCCAACATATAAACTGTTAGGCCTTTTAATACCAGTGGTCAACTATGCGATATATGGAGTAATGGAGTATTGTGATGTAGCCATAGTAACGCATGCAATAAGATCTGTCTCTTATACACATCTAGATGTGTATAAGAGACAGGAATTGCTAAGAGGATAAATAGAAAATGCGATATGGAGTACTGTGATGAATTATGTTAGTATTTGTTTATACTGTCTCTTATACACATCTAGATGTGTATAAGAGACAAGTATATATGTGTGTGCGTGGGGATGTGTGCGGGTGAGTGTGTGTTTTTGTAGGTCTATTTCATGTTTTAAGTAATTGGCCCAATGTGCATAATAATGTGATATTCTTGCGATTCATCCACAAGCATGATGTTGATGTTCATTGAGTTCAGTGTCTATATATTATTCACCATGTGCTCACGATTAGCGATTAAACTGCTGTCCTGCCCCTTTAAATCGGCAATCACTCGTGAAGTCGCGCATGCGTATAGCCATGGTATGCATTGTACACAAGCCTTATTATTGGCTTTCTACATTATAATAAGTCATATTGATTTGGGATGTTAGTAAATATTACATGGCAGGAATCTATTACTTCTTAGCCATTTTTTCGTAGATGAATTTGGCTCGCTTTAAATAATGGCGGATAAGCCAATTATTAAGCTACAAGAGGTACAGAACTCGAAATATGTAGAGCAGACTTGAATCCATTTAGCTATAACGTATTTCCAAGCTTTGCGGAAACTGCATACATTAGTTTCTTACTCATAAACTATAGGCATATGACACCTTGATAGCAGGAGGAGTAATATTTATATACTATATATATAGTGTATATATATACACTATATATATATAGGTTTTATATAGGTATATATATACATATATAATGTGTGTGTGTTGGTGATAATCAAAAGATATCTTATACATGTTTGCTTCAATATATATGAAATAAGTAGACAAAAAATAATTAACACTCTTCAGAGGGTGACTACCTTTGAAGCATAGATTTTAATGGGGGAAAAACATGTTTTCGGGGGCACCTTCTCTTTTTTTCAGAGTTACAATTGAAGTGACTCAGAAACAACACGTGTATAAGAGACAGCGTATGAAAATTAATAAACGGTACAGATGTTGATATCTGCAGTATTAAGATAAAATCGGGTCTTCCACTTCATCTAGTGGCTATGCCGGTATAAATATTTGTTGAAGTTTACCGGTACCATTTATTATAATCAGAAAATACTGCCAGTTGTCATGGTTACGACAGAGAATTAATGATGATGAAAATTATGAAAACGATGTTGATGATGAATTCAATACTAGCTGAGATAATGTGATCACAATGTTCTGATGTTAGGGGCTGACTAACAGACGTAATGGCGACAGCAACATGAACAACTATACAATGAGAATTAATGAGATCATTATTACAGTTATGTTTGGATATTTAATAAACATAGCACACAACCAAAGTACAAGTGCTAATAAAGTTAGTGCAGGAGTAAACCCAAAATGTCTATCGGTGATAATAATGCTGTAACTAGTATACAAACTTAAGAACATCAGGCATCAGGGAGAACTATTTCGTGGAGATGTTTATAATTATAAATTATACCATGCGCCGCCGTTTTCTAACATTC